TTTTTTTTTTTTTTTTTTTTTTGAGACAAGGTCTCATTATGAAGTTCAGACCCTGAACTGTATAGCCTCGGCTAGCCTCAAACTCATGACGATCCTCCTGCCTACTAATGCTGGGATTATAAGCATGGGCAACCATGCTGGACACAACTTTAAACCAGCATAGAAATATGTCAGCCTGTTTCAGATGTCTGGTCTCCCTCTTTCATCTACCATTTGCATCATGAATGTCTACCTGCACTTCTTGCTCATGAGGCTCTGGCAGCCTGCATCGCCTGAACGCACTCTCCTGTCTCCTCCTGTATCATATTTCTGCAAATGCTTTCAGACGTACCCAGTAACAATTTTTATGCTGTAGATAATGGGCATAAGTTTATCCATTAGAATCGCCATGAAAGCACTGTGCTGTTCATAAGGGCAACACTCTAAATTTAAAGAATGACTAAAAGCGGGAACATGCTATTTTTAATTTGCAAGTATTTTATAAGCCTGGTAAACCACTCATGGCAAATACATATGTAACTTTTGAAACTATGGGAAGATAAAAATGAAAATACTTCACTCCCCAATTCTAGTATGGAGGAGCACAGTACAACACGGGATACATAAAAGAATTTACAAAGATCAAAATTTACAAAGACCTGGGTTCTAATCTAGTATACTTGCACTGACCTTAACAACAATCTTTCTAAACACTTACTAAAGAATTTTATCATATAAATATAATATATAAATAAAAATAAATGTAATATGTCATACCAGACAATTTTAATTTTTGTGTACCAGTTAACAAATACTGCTTTCAAGAACTGGGTATTACATACATAGTCAGACATAAATTGACAACCTCTAAATACCATTTTTACCTGCTAATTTACATTCTTTTAAACATTTCAGGGCCAGCCGTACAGCACCTGCCTGGCAAGCACAAGGCCCAGAGTTCAATTCCAGTACGAAAAAAGCAAAAAGAACAAAGAGACCAAAAAATAGAAAATAAAAAAATAGTATTTCATAATAATTGTACCTCAGTTTAAGGCTTTCAGAGAGTCTTTCAGCTTCTTCAATAGCTTTTTTGATGTTTGCAGGTCCAAGTATGGAATGAAAGTAGTCCTAAAATTGGAGGAAGCCACATCACACTGTCAGTACCGACACTGCACCGCGCTGATGTTAAAATGTTATAATCATGGCGCTTACATCAAGGAAGCTTCTCATGACAACAGTATAACTGAAGTTCCATTTTTTAACTTTTAACCTCCACAGATGAACAATTATTCCCAAAAAAGTCTCAAAAGTATTTCCTCATATCAGCAATATGCTAACAAAAACCCCACCAGGTAATAAGTTTTACTTATTTATAAGCCACCACTAAGAGGTATAAACACTATTCTTTTTGTTTATGAATAGTACCAGGAAGAATAAAGATTTTAAGAGCAAAATTTACTTTTAGAAATATGAATTAAGTTTTTTTCCTTCAATCTCAAAAGCAATAAAGCAAATTACACACAGCAGTACAGCATAAGGTTTGTTTTGTTTTTTAAATCGAGGTATTTCTGCCTCTACTGTACTTCGCAGTAACTACTCACAGCCCAGCTGGGCTCAGAACATTTCTGACACAAACAAGAAGATTCACATTTCAGGAAACCTTGAACTAAAAACACAATGATAGGAACTAAATCATCAATGGCATAACCTATCTCTAAAAAGACACACGATTTAATGTGCCACGTCTGATTAACAGGCATAATGAAATTTGCAAAGAACGAATTACTTCAGAAGGCCGTTCACTCTGGAGCAAGGTATCCCCAGCCAGGCCGGCGGGCCCGACAGGACGCGGCAGCTAAGTGGCTATGGGACCCGCGTGCTAGGACAGGTGAATATGGCTCTGCCAGTGCAGCTCGATCCCTCACAAGTGCCAGGAGCAGCACATGAAAAGGCAGGCGCAGGAGGCCGTCAGACAGAGTGCAGCCGCGCGGCAAATCTGTGTGATAGCTGTCATCTATTTACTGCGCCTAAAGGTAGACCGCACTTTGGTTTACTTACTTCTCTAAACTCTAGCGTGTCTGCCAGGCCTTTGATGTACTATGTAGTCCTAATGAATGCGGTTTGTTCAGCATCATACCCACCGAACACTAGTTACCTAGTTAATATATAATGTAGTATATAATGTCATCATCACTGTAAATTTCTGATAAAAACAAAGCACAAAGTAAAAACTGAAAATGCAAACATGCTACAGTTTGTTTTATCTAATTTCACATATGACCTCTTCAAGGCAGCATGTGACTAGTTTACCCTATTAAGACACTGGAAAAGCCAGGAATAGGGCAATGCCTATAATCCCAGAACTCTGGGAAGCTGAGGCAGTTTGGGACCAGTTTGGATACAAGTGAGACCTTGTATCCAAAAAAGGGATGGATGGGGTGGGGAGGTAGCTCAGGGCAAATCTGGATTCAACCCAGTGCCACCACCACCAAAAAAAAAGAGTAAATGAGAAAATAACGTTTGGACATGCCCATTACAACTACCAGGAAATTATCTCTATGTGCTCTTAAGGGAGCACAGTCAACATAAGCAGAAATACTTTCAAACTTTAAGTATTATAACTGGCATAAAAGGTAACATCCAATTCATATACAACTACACAACTGCAGTGTCTGACACTCAAGTTTGCCAAGAAAACTTCCCTACTACTGAACACACAAATACAAACACCTCATGATTCCTTAGTACCAAGGGTAGCCACGTGTACCATGGAGATGTGAGGTGTAATTTTTTTTGCAGGGGGCACCAGGGATCGAACTCAGGTCCTTGTGCTTGCAAGGCAGGCGCCAGAACCACTGAGCTAAATCCCCAGCCCTAGGTGTAATTTTAATTCTTTGTAGAATGTGCTGTACATCCTTCTCCGCTTTTCAGATAACCCTGAAAACACTGTTTATAAATGGATTTTTTCAGTAAGTAGGCAATAAATGTACTGTCATTCTCTAAGAGCTGCTAAATTAACAAGTTCTACCTACATTTTTAATATTCTGCAGTGCAAGAGGGAAAGATTCAAGTTTCTGAAGAAATTCAGAATACTGATTTAAAGAGTAATAACTAGAAAACATACAGTTAGCAAATCTTTCTCTTTTTTTTTGGTTTTGTTTTCTGACAGGGTCTCATTATGTAGTTCGGGTTGGTCTTGAACTCATGTAGCCCAGAGTTGGTCCAAAGGTTGTAGGTTATTGTTAAACTGATTAACATTATGTAGCCCAGGCTGACATGAAACTGATTATCTCAAGGGATCTTCCTGCCTCAGCCTCCCATGCAGCCAAGACTACAGGCACAGGTTCCCATGCCTAGCTCTGACTCACTCAGCCCCTCAACTGGCCCTGGCAGTAACTTGTCACCACAGAGAGCAGACTGTGACCCTACACGCTGTGACAGACACGTCCTACACAAAGCAAGTGACAGGGAGTGAACAGGTACACATGCAAACACATCTGGAAGCAGTGGAACCACCTTAGTTCGCTTTTCCTCCGAACTTGAACTTGATCTTGCACAAGAGGACCTAAGTGTCATCGTCACACTGGAGGGGGCTCAGGAGCACAGCACCTGCTAGGCAGGGCAGAACTCAGTTCCGTCCCAAGGCCTCACCCACACACCAGGAAAAGTAATTTCATTGTTACTTAAAGTTCTTAGAGAAAACCAGTAGCTGCATTTCGCAAAAATAACAAATAAAAATGCAAAAATAACAGGTACCTGCTGTTGTTTGAAATCGGGTCTCTTTTTGATAAGGTTATAAACAGTCACATATTTCATATACAGTACATAAGCCCTTTCCTCATCACGGTCTAATCTGCATTCTTCTGCTGCCTTGAAGATCTTCAGAGCACTGTGTACATAACTTAAAATGAGAGGGGAAAAAAAATAATTAAAACATTGGGCATCTAAGGGAAAAGTAGAGGTCAGATACGTAGCCCACAAATAACCTTTTTTTTTTTTGCAGTATTAGGGATTGAACTCATGGCACTGAGCTATGTCCCCAGTCTAACATTCCCCTTTTTATTTTTAGTTTTGAGACAGGGTCTTGCTAAGTCACTAAGTTGTGCAGGCTGGACCTGGACTACAATCCTCCTGCCTCAGCCTCCTGGAGTGTTGAGATCACATGTGTGTGGTAGCTCGCCCCACACAGTGAGCTCCGTGGAGTGGGCTGCACGGCTTCACACACTGGCACACAGATATAAGTGTGGATACCACCAACCGCTACTCGCTCTGAGACAGGGGCAGTCAGAGACCCCTGGAAAGGGTCTGCCTTGGGTCTGACTTTAGACACTTTCCCGCTCGTCAGTCCTGACGGCTCCAACTGCCTCCTGTGTGAAGGTCCTGTGACAGCAGTGCAACAGGGCTGCTCTCCCCATCACCTCAGCACACCACCAAGCAAGTCCGAGGCGTGAGCCAACCCCTTCCTCCCCCCACTCTCTCTCCGACAGGCAGAAGCGCCAGTTCAACCTGGAATTCTCCTTCCTGACATTGCTGAAACTTTTTACCAGTCTCTTGCCAGCCTGGCATTTTGTTTCCTTCCCATGCTGTGTTTATTTCCTTTAGAAAATAACTCCCTCCGCATGGGTGGGTCTCGTATCTCAGCTGGGCATCTCAGCCCTGGCTCTGTCAGGACCACAGAGGACACTGAGAGTCTCCCATGCATCTCCAGGCACGGAACACTTCCTCTCTCCACCGATTTCTGAAGCTACTCTCCGATGTCAGGGAACAAGGCTGGCTAGGTCCATCTCCTTGTCAAGACCTCACTTCTGGCTCCACAGCAATGTTGTTACTTATCTATCTCCCAATCTTCTCCTGTTTTGGGTAAAATAAATTCAGAGGAAAATTTCTCTTCCTATCTTCTGATCCTCAACAGAGATACAACTAATAACAGATTAACGATTTTAGTAAGTCCTTTCAGTAAAACTATTTCCAGTAAATATCAAAGTAACTGATTTGATTTTTAAAGTTATTTTTAACTTGTTTTACAAAAAGACAATGACTTGTGGCAAAATGCGTTCTACAGACCTCCTGTGCCAGCGCTTAAACTTATGGCCTAGCGTGCACTCCCTGGACAGTCCCTGGACAGTAAACGTGTTCAGACAGCGCAGAATGTACTTGTGAGCAGAACACACATGTACTCTGATAGGACAGGAGCTTCTCTGAGAAAGACTGTGTCCTCCAACACATTTTAAATTAACTATTCATCTAACCTGAATAGGAAATGAACTAAATTATAGCATTCAAACAAACTAGCAAAGGATATATACCTCTTAGTGCTTATTTTCTCTGGCTTAACTTCTGTCTTCTTATTGAGGTCTTTTAGTGAAGAACTGAGGTAAAGTTCTTTAGGAACTGAAGCCACAGCAGGCATGATGGGTAATCTTTACTTTTCCGCTGTCAGAATGGATGAAGAGTAGTTCTTTCCTGGAAATAAACAAACAACTTCACTAATGCACTTTCCTCGTTAACAATAAAAATAAGTGAGTAGTTTAAAAATATAATACAAGGCTGGGCTAGGAGACAGCAATTGCCTGACATGCACAAGGCCCTGGGTTCAATCCCAGCATGGCAAACAAAAATCAAAACAAAACTTCTGAACTGTATCCTGTGCTAACAGGGTTAATTTGAAAATGTCTAGTATTTTATGTATGTTTACTAGTACATACTTGTAGTACGTAATGATGACATTCATCATGGGAATTTTAAATCCTCTTGAATATTTATTTTGGGAGTTTTAAGTTACACTGTGCAGGGTATAAATAAACAATAATATGTTTTCATGCTTCCATTAACTAAATAAGTTACTGAAATATTTCTCTTTTCTCAGTGATATCAGTTTGTAAAAGAAAACAAGTTGTAAGCAGAGCCATATAGTATTATACAGAACTGGGAATACAGTGGACCCTTCACTTCTGAACTCAGTCACCACAATGTTTTTCTCCAAAACTCACAATTTTAACATTCTCACTGTCCTCCATTTGTACTTGCTCTATGTATCTACAGACGTGTTGACAGAGCCCTTTAATTCAGAGTTTCAGATTTATGCAATCATAAACAGTGATCTCATAAATACTTTCTGCATTTTACTGGCCACTTTGGGTAAATAAATACTGGGTCCTGAAGCCAGGCATGGTGGCACATGCCTGTAATCCCAGCACTTAGGAGGCTGAGGCAGGAGGATCGCTGTGAGTTCAAGACCAGCCTGGGCTACACAGCAAGTTCCAGGTCAGTCTCAACTACATAGTGAGACCCTGTCTCAAAAAACTCAAAAAAAAAAAAACTGGGTCCTGGTCTAAAGCCGAGTAACGGGGGGAAAAAACTCTCTGGATAGGGCCAGGGATTTAGCTCAGTGGGGCCATGCCTGCCTCACAAGCACAAGGTCCTCAGTTCAATCCCCAGTATGGCCAAAAAAAAAGGTCTCTGGACCCCACCATCACCCCCAGGCAGACCCACTGGTATTGAATAAGTCCATCTGGGATGGCGGCTTGGTTGCTAAAACTTCAGTACCAGCTAACTAAGAACACAGTCAAGGAAGGCAATGCAAGGGATGCCTTGCATTTTCTCAGAGATGACAGCAGTGTTTTTCAACGAGATAACGGCCACAGACTCACCTGCAAGACAGATGCGGTGAAAGACAGATGTCACAGAGGGCAAGGACGTGGTTCCTGCTCTGCTGGACAGAGCATGGGGCTGAGAACACATCCTGGGTTCGAACACCACCCTTCACCCTGCCCATCCCCACAACGACGTGTGAAAAGTGGAACTCTGCAGCCCAACACCATGGAGAGACATGCTGCTTAATTACACACACAGGGATAACCACAGAAGGACAGGACATGACACGCACAAAATTCTACTTCCTGGGGAAGGTGGAGAAAGGAGTCAGGGAGACATCACACAGGGAGCTCAGAGGTACCAGGAAGGCTCTATTTCCCAAGTAGCGTATTCACTGATGATCATTTCATCATAATGCTTCATACAAGAGCACGTGTGAGTCGGGCATGGTGACATGGGCCTGTAACCTCAACTACTTGGGGAGGATGAGGCAGGAGGACTGCGAGGAATTCAAGGCCAGCCTAGGGAACACGATGAGGCTATGTCCCGAAACTAAAACAAGGGCCAGAGATGTAGCTCAGTGGTAGAGCGCATCCCAGCATGCCTGTTCAGTGCCTGGTAACACAGGCACACACACACGCAGGCATACAGGAAAAGAATGTCCAGAGACACATAAAAGTTCAGAAGGTACAGGTTAAATAAACAAACAAGATAATATGCGTGTACATACTCATCTTTTAAAACCACACTTGAACAGTGGAAGAAACAGACTGACATAACTGAGTGGAATGAGAGAGCAGCATTAAGGAAGAGAGAAACGAAACTTCGCAGGCAAAGGGAACCAAGGCCTCCGCACGGCCACACAGGCATCTCCTCGGCAGGGCGCGGGTGCGATGGCACTGGGTCTACGAATGAAGGCGGAAGGAGCCAGAGCACAGTGAGTGACAAGACTCCCTCCTCTCTCCCCAGCACCACACCCTCCGCTGAGGTGCTGACCTCTCCCAGCCACAGAGCGTCGCTCTGTGCTCCCACTCAGGCCAACGTTTCCGTATCCATCCCCAAAGCCAGAGAAGGACAGGGGAAGGCCCAGGCTGGACACATTCTCTCCTCCAGCCCCACAGCGACGGGGCGTCGACGCCAGTGGCCTGACCCGGGACAATGGCCCCAGCAGGCCGAGTCTCCCCGAGGACTCAACCAGTTAGGGTTCTTGGCTGGGAAAAGAAAGTACTGATTTGAACTTCCTAAAATGACATTCTACAATATATACTCAGTTAAACCTATTTCTCACTATTTTAAAGATTGGGTCTTTAAAAGACAAAGAGTATGTAAGCCCTATGTTTACCCAAGCAAATGTAAAATAATAAATCATGAGCTATTTAAAAGCTAAATTCAGTGCAAACCCTCACAGGTATCTGCTGTAGTGTCCTTCCAGAACTCAAAAGGTAAAGTCTGTTTCCTCACAAAATTTACAAAGCTAACGGGAAAGAGAAATTTCCAAGCAGTGACAACATAACACAGGAAGATAAACTACTGAGTTATAAATAAGGTACTAAGAAAAAATAAGAAGGAAGACTACATATGAGTAGTGAGATCTTGGACATCATCATGGAATAGATGGCATCTGATCAGATGTGATGGCACATGCCTGTAATTCCAGCACTTCAGGAGGCTGAGGCAGGAGGACGGCAGGCCCAAGGCCAGCCTGGGCAACTTAGCAAGATCCTATCTCAAAACAACAAAAAAGCACTGGCAATTATAGCTTAGTGGAAAGACCTTGGGTTCAATCCCCAGCACCACAGAACACAGAATAAAGCAATAATACAAACAAAACCAAAGAAAAGTATTCAATTTGAGTACTGGTGGTAGAAGGCTTCCAACAGAAACAAAGAACAGCATGAAGAGACAGTTAGTGCATCTTTACGAATCAGATGCCATAAAGAACACACAAGGATCTACCGAGCAGGGAAGCCTAAAAACAGTCTTGGAACAGATAATAAAAGGCTTTCAAAGTCCCACATATGTATTTCCTCTATTTCCTGGAGGCAACAAAGAACCAGCAGGGTTCTCAAGCAGGGAGTAACATGGCCCACAGGAGCAGGAATCCAAAGGCTCTCAGGGACAGAGGTAAGAAAACACAGGTCATCTACTGTCATGACCCAGGGAGAGATGACTGTCAGAACCGGGCGGGAGAGGTGGCCTGGAGGATGTACACACCGCACATGGCAACAGTGCAAGAGCAGGACTTGGCAAGTGATGAGTGACACAGAGGAAAAGTACAGGGACCATGCTATTCACTATGATGTCACCAACGCTGTTAGCAAGGGCTTCAAGGAGACAGATTAGACTTTTCTGAAGCTACTTTCTCTGTCCTTATTTGGTTTGTGAGAAGTAACAGTCTTCTCTGATGGTCCGAAGACCAACTGTTTCTACTTTTTTACTGACATCACATTATATGTCAAACAATGCTGATGATGCTAACATTTTCCAGCATTATTTTAATTCCTAATTCAGCTCCACAATCACACACATTTCTGCAGAATTCAAATGGGAGGTAAAGGAGGTTTTCTTTCCTAAACAAATGAGAAAGGAAAGCATATACATCCAACCTAAACATGAGGTTTAATGTGTTAAAAGTTTTGAGAAGTCGTTGTGCTACATTTTACCACTAAAGAAACCTCAACATAAACTGAAGTAAGATGACTTAAGGCCAAGATGACTAAATAAATTCACAATTTCCTTATTTTGACTGCAAGAGTTAAAAGCAAAGAAAAAGGCAGTAGTAAAAGCCTAAAAAAGCAACAACAACAAAATCCTACTGATAGAAATATAAGAATATTTAATATCTATAGAAGTCAGTTTATTTAATCTTTTTAATCTAGAGCAAACTAAATATAACATACAGCCTGGTAAACTATGGTATGCTTCAAAAGGGCCGGTAAGTTTTGAAAAAAACCTATGTACACATAAGAAAAACTGAAGAGTTCTAAAAACAAAAACAAAGTTTAAGATGCATAAAACTGACAAAGACTAAGTCCAGCATTTGACAAACAGCAAAGACCTAAGCAACGCGGAACTTGAGCTAACAAGGGGCAAAAATGGAAGGTGACGTACGCTCTTTGACACCTTCTCATCCTGAGAGAGAGGAAGGGGATGAATTAGAGTGATTAGGAAATCCTGACTAAAAAAAGTAGAAGCAAGTTGTGTGTGGTGGCGCCTGCCTATAATCTCGTCACTCAGGAGGCTGAGGCCTGAACAATATAGCACGACTGTCTCAAAAAACAAAAACAAAAAATAAAACTAGTCCTGCTGTCTTAACTTGGGCTTTGCCCCAGCCACTGCCAAGGTCTCTGGCAGGCAGGGCAAGAGGCAGAGTCTGTCCTTAGCAGTGGCCTCCACGTCCGTGTCCTCCTGTCTGCTCTTCAGGCAGCAGCAGAGCTCACAGTTGTCCCCGAACTCTCATACACTCCACCCACGAAAAACACCACAGAAGCCAGGGAGCCACGCACTCACGTCTTCAAACAACTCTGACATAGTAAAGGGCTTGACCATCCCAAGATTTCATCACTGCTGAAACCACTGGTACTTTCTGAGCATCTACTGTGCATCTAAAAATGTGATTAATGCGTGAAGGCAGTGTTTTTAAAATCTGAGGTCACTATTAGAATTTTTAAAAATACATGACAGAGCAGAAAAACAGGAGAGTATGTCACACCTAGTGAGAGGGGGTGGGAAGCGGGGCCTCGTGGATGCTGCCCACAAGGCAGAAAGCTCAAGGCAGCTGTGGGTCCCTGCTCAGTGCTGGGCTCCTCCTCTGGCCTCCTGTCCCCTGATCCGACACATCCCTCTCCTGTAGGCTTCCTCACGATGTCACCCACACGTGGGACGCAGCCAGAAGCCCTGTCTGGATGCCACCTCCCAACAGTGAGCCGAGTAAACACACAAGCTCAGGCACCTCGTTAGAGTAAGGGGAAGTGAACTAATACAGTGTGCACCAAAGTATTTTACAAAGGATCAAAATGTAAGATGTGTTCCTTACAATAGGTTACAATGGGGGGGGGTGTCCAGAGATAGAACTCAGGACCTAGCACTGTGAGGCAGGTAGGGCACCATTGAGCTAAATCCCCAGCCCCCAGTTACAATTTTTTAAAAGTATCCCTTTACAGCAATTCTTCTTCACGTGTGGCCCAAAGAGTAATACGGTTGGGGAACTATTTGCTAATAGTCTGTGACAAAACAAAAGAAGGCTGTAACCAAGCAAGGTGGCGCATGCACATGGGAGGTTGAATCAGGATTGTGAGTTCAAGGCCAGCCTGGGCTAACAGTGAACTCAAGGCAGCATGAACTACACAGCAAGATCCTGTCTGAAAACAAACAAGATAAAGTTGTGATAGAACATAATTCGAGTGTGCTGACCTTTTAGAGTACCTAGGGCTTTCTCACTGCAGAAAGCACACACGGCTCACTTTCCGAAGGAGAGTAAGGAGCATCTCACTCGGTTCCAACTGGCTACTCTGAACAGCACTGCTCTGAGACACAGAAGGTGGGTCTTCTGATCACAAAGATCTTAGTCTAGTCTCCAAGAACAAATTAATACTCGCTAAACAAGCTCCCAAAAAGGAATGTGCAGCTCAGTGATAAAGCATGTACTTGACAAGCGCAAGGCCCTCGGTTCAATCGCCAGCATCGAAAATAGGAAGCAGCAGCAGCTAGAAATTAACTGCTACTCTACACTGCGACTCTAGTCGCTGGGAAGTCACAGGAGGGAACACTCCGGTTAGTGAGAAAGATGCTTCCCCCAGCCCACAGCTCTCCTCTCTCAGGCTGGCCTTTCTTCCTCCGAGGCCCAGCTTCAGTTTTACCTGTCTCTGATGGCTGCAGTTTCTGGAACGCATTGCTTGGTCTGAATCGTACAGTTGCTGCTGTCTATTCTGGTCCTGTAGGATAGGATGCAGACCAAATGGTAACTATGTGGAAGTGATGAGGGACAGACCGAAACTGGCTCCAAAGGTAGGTGCTAAGACAGGTGAGAAAGGAGGCCCTTTCAGAAGAAGAAAACACAATGAACAAAGGCACAAAATGAGAACTCAGTAAGAGGAACAAACAAACAAACAAACGGAATACTCCGGGACAGCGCTGGCAAACCTTTAGAGCTTGCATGGTCACAAACAGCCAGCTGCAGCACGTGTGCCATGGAATCACTGGGAAATAATGAGACCAAGAGCGTCCACTCTGCCTCCCCACGCCACGCACCCACCCTCCCGGTCCTCACAGGCAACATCTAATCACGGCTAGCTAACAACAATTACACCCTAATAGCAAAGAGAGAGCACCACATCCTGCGGGACTCTGACACTACCCGGACTAGTTTACATCTGACTCAGCAGGCAATAAAGCCAGTTACTGACAGGACAAACATTGGCTGAACTGGGGATATGAAAACTGGACTAAAACAGTAACTAGAAGGCCCCGGAGGAAAGCGCAAAGACATGCGTTGGAACTGTATTAACAGCAGGGTTTATCTTCTCTTGCCTGCACCCCGCCCCACCACTTCAATGTGAAGAACAGCAGCGCGGTAACGAGAACAAACAGGGTAGCGGCATGCACTGCTTCACCCGGGCTACAAGCAGACCGGACTGGGACAACTCCGCTCCTGGACGCCGCTCTGCCCAGTAGAGGGCGCTCACCCGCACCCCGACCTCCACCCTGGGCCTCCAGCAGCGCTCATCCTGGCGTCCTGGGGCACAACCACCCCCAATAAGATGCCTTCGGGAAAGCAGGGAATTCAACCCTGAACCGGTGAGTAGAAACTAAGAGAACAGCATCTGAAGAAAGCTGCCCTGTCAGAGATGAGAAAATGTACTCAACAGCAGTGGAGACCAGGCGTGAAACGCATGCATCAACTATTCGGGCGTTCATGTTATCTTTACAATCCTTGTCTTTTGAGAGACGAACTTTGACACTGAAATATTATCTAGGACTTAATTCTGAATAATTCCATTTAATTTGATTAGTATATTTTAAAACTTCCTCAATATTTTTTAAACACAGGTATCAGCCAGACAAGCAGTGTTACACACCTGTAGTCCTAGCTACTTGAGAGGCTGAGGCAGGAGGATCACTTGAGCCTATGAATTCCAGGCCAGCTTTGGGTGGAGACCTGTGCCCCAAAAGATGCAAATAATAAATCGATAAATGCATTTAAAAATCGATTAAACACAAGATTACCATATATACTAGTAACTAAGAATAGGATCACCAAGGAAATGAGCTCATTTCTCCACAACTGACCATTTTACTGGAAGGGCCCAGATTGGGGGAAGGGGAGATAAGGAATAAAGATTCAGAAAAAGAAAAGCAAAAAAATGTAGTATAATGGGAACCAAGAAAACAAAACTACAAGGAACTTTTACAAAGTTCTCAGAATGCTGAGAGAGAGAAAAAAAAAAAAAATCACAGTAAAAGAGCTGGGCCTAGTTCAGAAGAGTGACTATGTAAACTGCCTGAAGTTTGGTAAACACTTAAGAGAATTCACTGCTTACAAGGTACAGTGTTGAGAGGGATAAAGGACACAAAAAAATGTAGCAACTTCTAAGGAAATTTCTACCTCACCCCAGAAAGACAAGTACACATGGTTAATACAAAGTGTGCTGGGTGCAGTAAGACAGGAACCAACAAATCCTGTGGGGAATCTGTTCATTTAATTAGGGAGGGCCATTCCTAAAAACAAACAAAAGGAAACTGACTTATAGGGGTTTGCCCACACTTACAACTTTAATACATGTATTTTGTCTGCTCCTTCATTTTTAATTTAATAATTGTAAAGGAGATAACCAAAGAACTAGACCTTACTATGATATGGACCAAAAGACACAGCTCTCAACTGGACTCAATAGTACACACCAGCACTCTAGGAGGCTGAGGCAGGAGGATCACAAGTTTGAACTTAGCCTGGACAACTGAGCAACTCAGCAAGACCCGTCTCCAAAAAATAAGATATAGTTCTCAATTCTAGCTATATATTAGAGTCACCTAAAGAACTTTTTAAAAATACTGATGCCCAAACTTCAACTCTTCAACAGTTAAATCAGAATCTTTGATTAAAAAAAAATACTAGGGACTGAACTCAAGGGCCTTTGTACTGATCTACATTTCCAGCTCTATTTTAGTAATGTTTTCAGCCTGGCGTGGTCACACATGCCTGTAGTCCCAGCACTTGGGAGGCTGAGGCAGGAGGATCGCTGTGAGTTCGAGACCAGCCTGGGCTACATAGTGAGTTCCAGGTCAGTTTCAACTACATAGAGAGACCCTGTCTCCAAAAAAAAAAATTTTTCAGGCAGGGTGTTGCTAAGTCACTAAATTGTCCAGGCTGAGCTCAAACTTGTGATGATCCTTCCTCAGCCTCCCAGAGTGCTGGGATTACAGGTGTGCATCACCAACCTGGCTCACATAGCTGTTCTTAAAAAGTTCCCCAGGTGCATTCTAACACACAGTCAAGACAGAAACATAAACATGGAGGAACGTATGTTTCCAGAAGCAATAAAATATGAAGACAACTGTTCCTAGGTGAAATCAGCATTGTAAACCATATAATCCCCAACCTATCAAGATTAAGAGAAATAATTTTTCTAAAATTGCGCAACTGAGAAACTAAAATAAGACCTCCAAGATTTCTATGCCTGTAACTTTTTTCCATGACTATTTTATTTTGAATTTGGCATTATAACACGTAATAATTTCATCTCACTCCATTAGAAAAATGTGGGTTTACATCATTATCAGGATGCTTCAGAGATACATTAGTGGTATGAAAAACTAAATTGTAATGTGCTAGTCAAGAGACAGGCTTAGTCATCTTGAGAACTATTACTACCCATAAGTACTGTTTTACTTGAATTAGTATGTTTATAAATACAGAATTCCAACAAATTTAATATTTCATAATTTACTAACAAATTTAATACAGAAATGTTGTAGCGCTTAGTCTTATTTTCTATTTATAAATCCTATGATGTTGACCACATTCCTTAATTTCTCCCAACTACACCACTGCCATTTCTGTTTACCTTCATCTGCAAAATGAAACGTGAATGACCCTCTGCTTCTATAGCTACCGTACAGATCAAGAGAAAATATACAAAAATGCTCTGAAAATAGTAAGATGCCATAATGATATAGACATCAGAAGAAGATACAAAGACAATGGAAGTGTATCCTATTCCGCCTTTACTATATAAATACAAACGAGGGTCCAATAACACTTTGACATCAAAATTATAGTAAGCTAAAGCTGGCCATGGATTCTTTGACTTTTTTTTTTTTCTAAAAGGCAGGAGTTGGGTTGGGGTACAGCTCAAAGCCCTGGATTCTCCAGCACAGGGGAAAAAAATAGGAGTTTATTATCTGGAGGCAGGACTTTTTGCCTGTTTTAAACTATAAAGTATGCTGGAAATAATGTGCTGATTTCTAGGTCCAAGCATTTAAGACTCTGGCAGTTTCCACTTTCTGCCTCTTCAAACATGTATTACTGAACCCCAGCAACCATGCCATGATGCATGCGTCCGAGCCACACAGAGGCCACCTGCAGCATATCAGGTGTCATCAACCACCACCACCCGTGAGCCTTCTGAGAACTCTCACCTCAGCTGCTTATCTGAACACAAATGTGTGAAACCCGAGCTGAGAACCACCTAGTTAAGGCAAGTCAGCGAATACTAAATTGTCATTTTCAGACAGTTTTTTGGAGTGATTGCTATGTATGCAACAATAGGTAACTGAGATAACAGTAACATTTCTTTCCTTTCTTTCTGATGATAGGGCTCCATTAGGTTGCCTAGGCTGGCTTCCAATTCTTGGGCTCAAGTAATCATCCTACTTCAGCCCCCTCAGTAGTTGGAACATACAGTATTTTTTTTTAATGCTTCCTTACGACCGGGGATTTAGCTCAGTGGTGCCGGCACCTGCTTAGCAAGCGCAAAGTCCTGAGTTCAATCCCCGTACCAAAATAAACAAAACAAAAAAACCTAGTGAGCTCACAGGCCTGAACTATACACCCAAACCCTGTCTCAAAACACACACCGAACTAATAAAAAGGCTTCCTTAATTATATGTAATTTAATTAGCAACATACTTGAGTAACCCTTTTTCTCTGATTTCTACAAAAAATGAATGCACGTCCATTAGAACTTCATAGTAAAATACAATATTCTACATTTTATTTTTAAAAAGTTTGATGCTCGACTTTAATTTCCCTAAATGTCCTATTTTACCAAGCCACACATTTTGTGGTTCCTTTCCAATATGTTCACATCAATAAACAAATACCTATAAGGATTAGAAAAATTCAAGTAAATATATTTTTAAATGAAATGCTAAAAAGACATTTTAAAATATTTTCGTCTATCGCATGCACTGTTTGCTCAAAGAATACATGTCTATGTATCAAATTTCACTGACACATGTGTTTTTTACTAATACTATCTAATTTTGCACCTTAGGTGTCACTATAGGAATACATATTTCAAACTGTCATACTAACATGATAAAGACGTACCAGAATCCAACATCACCTTCCTGGCACTCTACTGTAATGATGTTTGTAATGATGCAAATCTATCGTGAATGACATTCAACAACGCAGCCTGAACAGATCAGCATCAAGGCAAAATCTGCTGACGTCGCAAAGCCGCACAGCAAGCCTACAACAGGGACCTTTTTTAAATTTTATTTTAGGAACACTCCTTAACAAATATCATTCGGCATTTTTAATGCAACAGGATATATACAAAACTAAGGATGCTCTGCAGGCTCAAAAATAAGTAACATCCTTCAGAAAGGCATTCCTTTCCCCTGAAATGTATAGCTCTTAACAAATACTAAATTCCTTAGGCTCCGCAACACCTGAGTCAGGTTCAGGGACTTGCTCAAGGTCACGGGATAAATCAGAGGCAAGAAATAAACCGAGGAATGTGGTCGGCAGCTTTGGATATAAACGCTCGTCGCTGCAAGTCAGGGTTCTGATCATTTCCTCGGTACAGTGGAAGTGAAATTAAGTTGTGCCACAACTCCAGAAGAGACGGCACATTTTAGAAGAGAAAAGCCGCTATCGGAAGAAGTCGGTTTTAACTCTGATGAGCTTATTAAACTCTTTCCAGCACTTCACGAAAGGCAAGAGTGCCTGAGGCACCCGGGGAACACAGTGAAGGGTTCTACTAGGGCCTGGGGTTATAAACAGACTGCAGAAAACCAGAAAACGGAAGTACGAAGGAGGTCAAAGTCGGGTCCGAACGTCCAAGAAAAAGGAGGAACGGACGAGGCCCCTTAAAGTGGAGAAGGCCTCCTAAAATGCTCTGGGCGAGCGCGGGGAGCGGGGGGCCGAAGACCGGCCCATCCTCCCCACCGTGCGTCCCGGACCGTCCCACCCC